TCCGTGAAAAATGAGCTGAGATATTACAGTTAGATTTAGTAAAGGGGACTGAGCTTCAAATTCATTCAGAACTGAATTTTACTAGCAACATGAAACCTTTACTGCCGGCTAGTGTATGTAGATTTGAAAGGCCACAACTATTACGAACGAAAAGTTCCTAAAAAAGACAAAAAGTAATTTTGTTTTTCTGATCTGGATACTGGCTACTTTGGTAAAGTATTCTCTCGATGAACAAAAACAAAACTCCACACGTAACTTATCATTCCAGTCCTGCTATATGGTGCGGAAGCATAGACAACATCTGATAAATCGGCGTTAGGAGTGTTCGAAAGATAGGTTTGGCGGAAGATTTATGGTCGAATACAATGGCTGTGAGCTACTACTCCACCCGCCGTATTAACCAGATTTGGCACCTTCCGATTACCATTTTGTTTTTCATCGACTCGACACACATTGGCTGAAGTCAAAAATTCCTACGTCGAAAATTGGTTGGTTGATTGGTTTGCTTCAAAAGACGAAGCAGACTTGGCATGGTATCGACAAATTGCCAGAAAGGTGGTCAAAATGTTAAAAAAAACAATGGTCAATACGTTAAACATTTTTACTTTCCTATTCAAAGTTAGTAATTTTCATAAAAAACGCTCTTTTCATACCGGTTGATATATTATCGGAATGAACTTGAAACTTAGGGTTTCATAATACAGAAGGACATAGTAATAATTAAATTATCAATATTTATTAAATTCAAGATCCAAAAACTGCAATTTTTTCATTGAAAATTTTTCTCAAATAAATCAACATGCTGCAAATAGATATACAATGTGTACATGTGTATAAACATATAAATATGATTGGCCTGTTTTATGGGTTACAAGCTATAGTTATGTATATAATTGCTATTTGTAAGCGTATTCACACTTCAGAGATCTCAATTTGTGAAAGCGAAAAAATTGAAATCTGTGCCAAAATAAAATATGTGATTGCTAACTTTTATGACTTTTCTTTTACAATTTGCGGTTGCACTCGAGGCGATAATGATTTATACTCACATATACTTATTTAAGATAAACACACATGCATTTATCCGTGTGAATTTATTGCTTCCATTCAATTTCGAGCATGAATAAAGGAATATATGACAGCCACAAACCCAAAACAAACAAACAAAAAAACAAAAAGAAGAAGAAAGAATAGCGGTAAAATGTTTCAGGGAATGAGGAAATCCAATTTCCGCACTAAGTACTTGTATTATTCTATTATATTCAATTTCGTCGAAGGTACAAGTGAAGGCATGTTATAAGAAACCTTTATATAAGTGGAGGAAATATTGCATGTAAACGTACATATTTGTATCTACTCAAAACACAACTTTAGCTGTGAGAGCCACATTTTTAGCACGTATCTTCCTGCCTTCAGTGTCATCTTACTGCTTTTAAGTTGGAGTTTATATTTCCGAAGTACTAAAATTGTAGCCAAAACCATAATTGGAAATCTGTTATTTTATTTAAAAACTGCTTGAAAATATCATATGCACATATGCACAAGCTTACAACCTATTTAAGATTCATACCAGATCAGTCCAGTACCAGAATCAGTTTTGTGTTTGCGGCAATAAAAAACCTATTTAACGACCACTCGCTGGAACACATAGTAAAGCGCATAAAATCGGCACTATAATATCCGTGCGTATGTATGTATGCACAAAATGTAAATTATATATACACATATACTCGTACATATATGCATATAAATATACACATTTTTGTTTGTTAGATATGAAAGAGTAGCTCATACTCGTATTTGAATGGACCGCACACTGTGGCCTTTCGCTTTCAAATATTTACTTTTGCCACGCTTGTGAATTTTTATGAATGAAAATATATTAAAATAATTGTTTTTATTGCTTTTTTGTGCATGCGCGGAAAACATTTGCAACCGCGTTTGAAACGAACATGTTGTATGCTGTAAATGTCTTCAATCAAGTGATTATTTTGGTTGTGAGCTCGAAGCAACTTGTTTTTTTGAAGCAAATGAACTTTTTCAAGCTTATTTGGTTAAAATACATTAGGGTTGTTATAGAAAATAATAATTGTAAAATCTACAAGTAAGGAAGAGCTAAGTTCGGGTGTAACCGAAAATTTTATACTCTCGCTACTTGCATGGATCAAAGCCTGTGAAATACCTTCACGTGTTGGCAAAACTTTGCATTAAGCTAGGGAAAGTATCGCCGTGAGATTATCCATTTAAGAAAAGAGGACACACAGTTATTAGGAATTTCATTAAGACTTCTTACATATTGACCGATAGATTCAGGATAAAGTGAACCGAAAGTTCGAAAATATTGATGTTAGCTATATGATTGCTAAGGGAAGTGTTGACCCGATTTTACTCATTTTTGGTGTGGTTATTATTCGATTTTGTCCATCTGGAATACCATGTGTACCAAGTTTCAAGAAGATATCTCAATTTTTACTCAAGTTACAGTGTGCCAGACGGACGGACGGACGGACAGATTGTCACTCAGAATTCAACACGTCTTGTCATCCTGGCCATTTATTTATATTATACATAAATCGATATCTATCTCGATTATTTTTAGGTGATACAATCAACCGTAACGTAAACAAAAATTTTATACTCCGTAGCAACATTTTGCACTGTAGATATAATACCCTTCACAAATGTAAAAATTGTCCATGCAAAAACTTAAATTTGATCAATACTGATTGATCACATCACTGATTGATTATATGGCAGCTTGTGCTTTAGTGGTCCGATAACGACGCTTCTCACAAATAAGTAGCTCCTTGGGAGAAAAGAACGTATGCAAATTTTCTGATTGATATCTAAAAGCTAAGGAAGTACTTCGCGTTTATGCAAACGGACAGAGGGCCATGACTAAATCGACTCAACTCGTCATGCTAATCATTTGTATATACTCGTGTGTATATATCTTATCTTATCTAGGGTCTCCGACGCTTCCTTCAGGGTGTTACAAGTTTCTTGGTAAACTTAACATGGTATACCCTGATCAGGGTACAAACATGTACATTTATAGAATTTAATGTACTTTAGTAAACAGTGATTAATATTACTATCAAAATTCTTTCGATATATCTTAGAAGGTCGTCTAATATATCTTAGATCGTTTGGAAATTTCAAGTTTATCTATTCAGTAAATTCAGATAGTTTAGATATTTGTTCAGATATTTGTACTTTACATTTTCGGCAAATATTCTTAAATTATTCTTAGATTATTTTCATTCAAATAAATTATTCAGTTCACTCTCGAAGCTTACAGTTGAACTTATCTTATTTAATTTGTCTAAATTTTAAATTTTTTTGACCAATTTCATTCTAATCGAAACAAAACTATGTTATGTTATTTGGTTGGACCACACATAACATTTTATTAACAATGCTGTACAATACTCGATACTCTTGCCACAAACTTTTATGTTATCTTTTTAATACAAGAAAACACTTTTTATACCCTGAACGGGGTGTACTAAGTCTACCATAAAGTATATACTTGTATACTCGTATAATTGATTAGCGTGACGAGCTGAGTCGATCTAGGTCCGCCTGTCCGTCTGTATATGTGGAAACTAGTAAAGTTTTTGAAATATCAAGCAGAAATTTTGCACACGCTCTTCTCTCACAAAGACGCTGCTCATTTGTCCGCCGATATCGGACCACTATAGCAGAAGAAGAAATTTGGCAAGCATTATTGCCCAAGGCATGAATGCAATCTCCGGAGAAATTATTAAGATCGGACCACTACATCATATAGCTGTTATACAAACTGTCCGATCATAATTAAGGTAAATATATTTTTATACTCCTGTAAAGAGTATTTTTTAGCTTAAAAGGTAAAGGTTTGCAACAACTTCTATCAAAAAATCTTGCAAGATCATAGATAAAATTTAAAATATATAGGGTCGAAAATTTACATTCAATTATTTTTTATGTACAAAATATTTTTTTGTATTCTTTGAGCCAAAGTATTAGACACGTTTTTTTTATTTCGACTCATTATGAAAATTTTTGGAGTTATGAATTTTCAAAATTTTAACTTAAAAAAAAGTACCTTGAAACAATTGCGTATACAAAGAAAAGTATTTATATATAAAAATAACTAGCCAGCATATTCTGATTTTATTTAGCTTTCCAATGTGATAAATGTTGAATTTTTTTATATTTTTTTTTTTCAAATTTGGAACTGTTTTTATTTAGTTGTTTTTTAATGAATAATTAGTCTCTTTACTTACTAATTCATAAATTTCGTAGTGATCTGTACAAAATTGTAATTTTGACAGAGTTTTGAAACTATGTCTCTAGCGTTTGAAGTAAGGGCATGCGGTATCAACCATGCAGGGAAGTCTTGAGTAGAGTACGAACAATCGCGCGTTCAAAACGCGGATGTTGAAGATTAAAATATTATTACGGCGGAATTTTTAACAGGCCATTCATAAGTGTATACAGTCCTGACTGAAGAGCCTAATGTACATTTTTCATTAAAATAAACTTTATAAAAATAGCACCAAATTAAAAAAAAATATATTTATAAAAAAGTCGAAAAAATTCAACTCTTATCATCAGTGGAAAGCTGAAAAAAAAATCGTAAAGAATACGCCGGCTAGTTATTTTTATACATATAGATATCCTTATTTTCGCATACGCAAATGTTTAAGGATTTTTTTTCAAAATTTGAAATTTTACAAATTTATAACTGCAAAATTTTTCATATTGAGTCGAAATAAAGAAATACTTGTTTTGTACGAAAAAAATTTTTGAATGTAAATTTTCGATGGAATGACCCATATACCATACATATATCTGTACATACGGTATGTGCACATAGATAAGCGGCGCTGGAAGAAAAGCAGTGGGTGTGTAATTATAACGTGTTGTAAACAAAATTTGTTGTAGGTCCGAGCAGCAGCGGCAACTGCTGCCAAAAACACTGTTAGGCGAAATGGCGGAGCACAGTGAAATTCAGTTGATAACGAATAGTCGCGCAGTTAAGACGTTCTAACCAACCAAAGAGGTTGGTAAAATACAAAAACAAATTTGAAAAGTGAAACTGTTAGAAAAGCGTCAATAATGCTGGATAATGAACGTGATAATGGATTAGCAATTTAAAAAAATTTAAATAGTAAAAATATTTCAAAAAAAGATGTGAGATTGAAGAATCTAGTAAAAAATTAACAAAAAATAATATTGCAATTAAAAAAATTATGGAAACTGTTTGAAAAACTACAAATAGTTTGAGTGTAAATTAATAATTAAAAAAAAAAATTTAAATAACATTATTAATTTCCACAAAATTAAAATGAAAAATAAAATTTTAAAAATCTAATAAAATTGTTAATATAAAAATAATAAAAAACAAAAAATCGCGGTCGCACTGCTTCGTCGCACACTTTCATGAGAAGACGCTCGGTGTAATTACTTTTCTACAACGCGTGTTTGTGCTTTGACGCCACCCACTGCAATTGGATTATTGGATAATGGCGTTACAAGCAAACATAAATATCTAATTCTACCGGTAAGAATTCATGGTGGTCTATGCACGTACGCATGTAAGGTGTGAAAAATATGTAAACATTATCGGTTAATTGCTTTTGAACGTAAGCTTAACTGCTTCCGAAAGCGATTAAGCCAAGACAATAAAAATTAAAAGATATTTATATGCGGAAATTACAAGCGCTTGTAAGCTAATAAATAACATTTTTATATAGCTATGAATATCTTGCTGAGGGTTGATAAAAAAAAATAATAATAAAGATTAAGGACAAAAAAAAAAAAGAACGTTAACCTCGGCTGCATCAAACAACATTTAAACATTTACAAATGCATTTCTTACAGAAGAATCTCAGATTTTGATAGATAATTTTGTATAGCAGCTAAATGCTATAGCGATCCGATCTGAAAAAGTTTTTCGTATAATATAGCTCTCCTTTTAAAAATAATCTGTGCGCTATTTCGTGAAAATATCTTGTCAACTAAGAAGGTTTTCCATACAAGAACTTGGCTTTGATCGAACAATTTGTATGACAGCTATATGCTATAGTGCTCTGTTCCAACAAATAAGCAATTTCTTGAGAAGAAAACGACATGTGCTAAATTTCATATTGATATTTTAAAAACTGGCAGACTAGTTTGCGCATATATAGACAAAAGGACATAACTAAATCGCCTCAGCTTATCACGCTTATCATTTATATAAGTATATACCATATAGGTCGTCGATGATTTTTTTGGATATTATAAAATTTGTGGGAAATTAAATTAACTAAACATAGATATCAGTACTATTCGTTATATGAGCTTATGAACTCATCATCAATGGTTTACCTTAACTTAAATCAAGAATATTCACTTTAAAAACACGAATAAAAATATCAAATGTGGTTAAGCAATGATATCAGTCGATGTCTTTATATTTTTTTTTTTTAGTCTTTGAGAATATAAAGAGTCACACAAATTGCTGATTAGATTCAGAAAGACGTTGTATGGAAAGTAGGCTTGTTTATGGTATGATAGATACAATATAATTGTAGCTCTTCAAAGGGAACGTTATATTGTTATCATATTTCCCCTAATAAAACATTAAATACTTGCTGTGATATAAATTTCAATGGAGTATGACGCGGTGTGTTGAAAGTTCTCACCGAGTTTAATTGAGATAGTTTAACACGAACATTAATCATGCTAAATGTCGGAAACACTCCTAATTTTAAATTTAGATCCACATATTATTATCCGTTTTGCAACGTTATGCATTCCGGTCCTGCCTATTTGAAATACCAACTTCTTCAAGGTGCGCCAAGGACACGTGTTTCGAATACAATAAGGAATATTACATTTATTATTCAACTCATCGACAACATGTATAAATGAAGAGATGTACGGATGAACAAACGGGTAGATAGATATGGCAAATCCAATTAGTCCTGTCAATCAAAGCCCTTTTGATATGTGTAAAAATATACACATATGTATATATTGATAATTTGAAGTTGTTATTAACAACAGTTAGGTGAGCAAAACGTGTTGAATGTAGTATGAGGTATACTCAAACAATCAATATTATTATTATTTTGCGATTGGCAAATGGCGAAGGGGTTGGTAAACAGCTTTAGGTCACCACTGCGTATGAGTAACAATGAGTAAATAGGGCAAATATATTTTATGCATAAGGAATATACTATATATTTATAATGTGCAGAGAATGCCAAAGGTTGGGAGAAGAAACAAATTGATCATAAAGGTTGCCCAGTATTTTTTTTAATTTGTAAATCCACATAAATCTAGATATTAGTACGTTTCATTGCAAGTTCTTATTCTGGACTTTTTCCTTTTTTTTCATATTTTATATTAAAACACAAAAGAAACAAGAATAAATTTAACCTTCTCAAATACAAAAGTTCTTTAAAAGAACTTTATTCCGATCGTTCAATTTGTATGATAGCTATATAATATAGTGATCTGATCTGCACAATTTCTTCCGAGAATACATTATTGCCCTGAAAAATAACTCGTGGATAATTTCGTAAAGATAGCTCGTCAAATAAAACAGTTTTCCATGCAAGCACTTTAGTCCGATCGTTCAGTTAATATGGCAGCTATATGCTATAGTCATCCAATCTATACCATTTCTTCGGAGATAGCATTATTGTCTTAAATAATAATCCATGCCTAATTTCGTGAAGAAACCTCGTCAAAGAGTTCAAGCAATTGATTCCAATCGTTCAGTTTGTAAGGCAGCTATATGATATAGTTGTCGCATCTAAACAGTTTCCTCGGATATTGAATTATTGCTTTAAATAATAATTCTTGCCTAATTTCGTGAAGATGATTCTGATCGACAGTTTGTATGGCAGCTATATTCTATAGTGGTTCGATATCGGCCGTTGTGACAAATAAGTGGCTTCTTGGTGAGGAAAAGACAGGTGCAAAATTTCAGACCAATAGCTTAAAAACTGAGGGACTAGTTCGTTTATATGCAGACAAAACGACAGACAGACGGACATGATCATCATGCTGATAATTTTGTATATATAATATTTTATAGGGTCTTGGAAAAGAAAAAGGTGTGGGCAAAATTTCAGATCAATATTTCAAAAACTGGACTGAAAAGGGACTAATTCGCGTATATACAGAATATAGGTTAGGATATATAGGTAATGAATTTTACATAAAACTTGTTAAATGCTGTTTAATCATTTTATATTCATTCTAAATGAAAAATTACAAAAACCATGATTACGAAACAAAAATTTTTACATAAAAGTAGTTTACTTAATATCAGGAATTCCTCTTGAAACAATTTCGTAGTTGCTGTAAGGTATTTTTATTTAATTATTATATCACTCGTGATTGTGATTAGATTTTGTAAGCAAAATCACAATGTAATGAAGTTCAGCCACCGGAAGTTCGGAATATTTAAATTTTCCGCAAAATACGTGCGGCTTAATTTCGTTTTATTACACGTGTAACAATTCAGCTTTGTTTTTATATGTAAGCTTCTGCACACATCCATTCATGTAGTTATGTATGAGCAGATATAGGTAGAATTTCTGTTTAGCAATTTTTTTAAATACCCTACGATTTCTTATCTATATAATAGGCGTAAATAAATTTTCTGCAAAAGTGAATATGAGTGAGATTAGTGCGATTATTGTGTAATCGCCATTCAGCAAAACTTAAGCTTGCAATAATCTATGTAATTATTTGCATGAGTAGATATGTACTTATATACCATATATGTATCCACACATTATCCAAATTATATAAACCTTTGTGATTTAACTGTACTATACCATAAGAAAATAATGAGGACCGTAAAAATGATGCTTAAGAGTTGTGTATTACAAATGTAGCGAAAGGAGAACTTATTGAGTATACACTTTAGATGAGAAATTACTATATTATTTTAGACGCATGTTTAAAAAAAAGTTAAAGAAGAAATGAATGCACCACACACTAAGAGCTCAATTGTCGAAAAAACCGATAAAGTAATTAAAATCTTCGAGCCCGACCATCACATAAGCACTACCACGATTGCCCAGTTGTTTTGGAACCGTCTAAATAAAGATCGGTGATGAAAAACGATAACGTCAAGCGAAAACGGTCATGGCCATCACGATGAGTCAAGCCAGGATTTACGGCCAAGAAGGTTTTGCTATGTGTTTGGTGGGATTGATAAGGCATCATCTACTATGAGATGCTCCCCTACGGCCAAACTATTTATTCGAACCTGTACTGTCAACAATAGAACCGTCTAACAATCACTTACAAATAAGCCAATTGACCAATAGCTGAGGAATAGGTTTCCATCTAGATAACGCAATGCCACACACATCGATGGTGACTCGCCATAAGCTCCGAGAGCTTGGTTGTGATTAATACATATTCCTGTCTATGGTGATTGCTGTTTTTGATGCAAAATCGGATTTATTCTTGAGAAAGTTGTCACATTTTTAGTTTTGTAGTTTCAACTTATATAGTTATATGTGAAGTGGGCGAGGCCATTACCGGATTGATTGCACTTTAACATCGAAGTATTAGCTGTCCTCGATTCGTCAAGCGTTACTCTCCAACGAATCGAACAAACTAATAGTTGCAGTACAGTGTGAGTTATGTATCATATCGATATGCAAACACACATTGACTTTGAAATTGAAATTAAAATAAAGTATGAAGAGCCAGGTTAAAGTAATACTGTTTAAAATATGATAGACAATTGTTTTTGTTTTTCAAAGTTATAATACCGACATAAAATATACATATTTCTCTCAGTCTCCACTGTATTTGTAAGGTGAAACAGGTTTTTTTTTTGTATAATTTCACTTTTCGGTTGTAATTCGATGGCAATTTTGTGTTTTAGAAATACTGAGTAGGCGATTATACTTGTTGTTTGCTGTAACAGCCTAAAGGCTGAAATTCTGGTGAATTTTCTGTTATTTTGCAAAAGCTTTAAGCTTCGAGATTTTGAAGAAAATTTCGTAGGCTAGGCTTTCACAGTGTACAACCACAAACAAACACTACAAACAAGCTTCAAAAGGTACATAAAATATATTTATTGTTGTGCTGTTTGTGCCGCCTACGATAATCAAGTAGCAGTAGGTAAATGATAACAAGAATAATAAAGGGTTTTAAGAAAAGCTGTTTGGAAATAATCAAAAAAAAATTAAAAGCGCCTCTCTGAAAGGCAACACTTGAGATGAAAATTGCCATGTTTAGTTTAATGTATGTATGTATGTATATTCATAGCTATATATTATAACGATTTTTAAAAAAGAATTAAAGCGTATTGCAATGAAAAATCTTAACCGAATTTAATATGAACATGGGAAGTTAAAATTTTTAATTATCACAGCTTATATTTTGCCATAAATCAGACTATCCCGTTATAATAAACATCCACACATACACACGAGGCGCATCAACGGCTTAGAAGTTGTGTAACTTTTCAAAAGTTGGTTGATGATTCAAGTTTAGACAGCGTGTCCATACAATACACTTCTAATATCCGGTATATAT